CGAATTGTGGCTGAATGCTTTTTGGATGCTTTTTGTTCCGCAGGCTGTGCTTATGGTCGCACGTGGTTGGCGGTTGTTGCTGCAAGTACTCCGGAGGTTGCACATGGTTGCACAGCCGGGCGTGAGTGGGGTGCCCAGTCGATCAGATGGTTTTGGTTTCCTAGATGGAAAGATGCCTTCAAGAGAAAGCATAGGGTCGAACACAGGATTTGGCTCTTCTTTCTGGAGACAGCTGGGTTCGTTGAACATTCTTTTTTTGTTTTGCTGCAGTGCCGCAGTGCTAAACTGTGTTCACGCGCGTTTGAGGGTTTGGGGTTCTGATACACTGAGATTGAGCCAATCAGATCTGGAGCACGTCGTTCCATCATGTGCGGGAAGTGCCCTTAGGTGTGCTGTGTCTTCTCAAAGACTTCTGGTGTGGCTTGGCCGCAGCACTTTCGGAAGCGATTCAGTTTGCATCCTACAAGCCCAAGGGCCACCTCCATTGTCGGCCCGAAGCTTCTTTGAGCCGCATCCGCAGTGCGTGAATTCGAGTCGAAGCATGGCTGACGAGACTGTCCGCTTCACCACCTGGCGAGACATGAAGCATTAATGTTATGAGATCCGGCCAGCCAATCGTTGAGGCCACGCAAAACAAATATTTTTGCGTAAAATTTACCTTTTGGTTATCCTCCGGATCATCCATCCTCCCTGTTTTTGCTTTTCTTTCAGATCATCATTCTTTTTACCTCCGGCTTTTCCTCCTGATTATCCTCCTGATCATCCTACCGGTAAATTTGTTGGTAAAATTTTGGTAAAATTTACGCAAAATTTACGCAAAATTTACACAAAATTTACCTAAAATTTACCTCCCTCCGGCATTTTCCTTGGATTTATTGAAAATTTATTAATAGCTAATGAAAACTGCAGGCGGGAGGTAAATTTATTGGTAAAATTTTGGCAAAATTTACGCAAAATTTATCTAAAATTTACCTCCCTTCGGCATTTTCCTTGGATGTATTGAAAATTTGTTAGCAGCTCAGGAAAACTGCAGGCGGGAGGTAAATTTGCTGGTAAAATTTACGCAAAATTTACGCAAAATTTACCTCCCTCCGGCATTTTCCTTTTATGTATATATATATATACATACATACATACATACATGTGTATGTATGTATTCGCACACATGCATGCACATACACATGCACATGCGGATGCGCATGCGCATGCACATGCACATATGTACATACATATATGCACATGTATGTATGTATATATATATATATCCAGTATAAGGCAACATCGTGTGTATTTATCTATCTATCTATCTATCTATCTATCTATCTATCTATCTATCTATCTATCTATCTATATATACACATAGTGTTTGTGTGTCGATACATATATATATATATATGTCGCCACGTGTCAACGCGATGAAGCCCCGCTCCGAACTAGTTAGGCTACCGTGGATGCCGACAGCCCGCAAGACCGGAAAGCCACAAAGCCTCACAAGCCCTGAAGCTCTGCAACAGAAAGCCCTGAACAAGCCCTCAAGCCTGTGACCCAAGCCATCAAGCCTTTATAACTTTCTCGAGGCACCATGCACCCCTCAACGTTAGATTCTTAGATAGAATGTAAGCTGCCGGGTTTGTTACAGGGTTCCATATTGGTCCGTGAGTGATAGGTATTCATGGGGCTTTTGAATGAGAGGTATTTATGGGGCTTCTTCAGGGTTGCATAGGGTCTCATATGGTGAGGGCTTGAGCAATTACTTGGGAGAAAGTTTTGGGGTATGTTACTGTCTAAATCAAGTGCGGAGCCCTCAAGAATTTTACTGCAAAGGATTCAACTGATTGAATTATTCAATAAGCGTCTATATATGACATGAACCCTACAGTTAAGCATCTGGTACCCCAGGGTTGCTCCCTGACAGGAGCATGAGCGTGATTTGGCATTGCTGTCGTGAATCTCCACATATTTTAATCTTCCCAATATAGCCGAATAATTTATTAATTCTGTTCGGTCGTATTCTTAAGCTTAGAGATAGCCTGGATGTTCCTTATGAGTAATCTTCCAGATTCCATTTTCATCATTTACTATGTTGTCGTATAAGCACACGGAATGTTGGACCTACGTTTGGTATGGGCTTGAGGGGCTTATAATATAGTCCAGGTTGTCCCGGCTGTTGTCCTCTTAGAGACGCTGAACTCTAGACCTAAACGCTAAACAAAAAGTTGCACCGCCAATTTCAGGCAACAAAAACCAAACCCTGAAGCGTAAACCCTAATTAAAGGTTTGCCGGCCTTTGAGGTACTAGGCAACGGGGTTTAACGGGTTTGAGGTGCTATAGGGTGTAGGGTCCACGAGCGCTGCAGTCAAAAACCACAATCATGTCCATGATAGCAATCCTCAAAGCTCTCAGAACCTGAGCGTTTAGGGTTTAGGGGTTTAGGCCTGCTGCGTTGGCTTTCTTCGAGCTTCAATCCTACGCGAATCTGTTCCATAAACTGACACGACAGGGGCCTGGCTCCTGCACAGAGGCCCCTGTCGTCTGGAAGCAAACCTGCTCGAGGTTCATGGGTACTGCAAACTGTTTGTGTAAAGCGGGTTGTGGGGTTGCCTTTGTTGAAGGGTCTAAGTCGAATAGAAATATTGGCACGAGTCACAGCCAGCATACTTCTATCAGCCTCGCCCTTTTCATTAGACATATTTACACTTGCAGTTACACTCCCTGCTTGCAAGTACCCATGGCCCATGATCTTTGGAGTGCATCGGAGTTCGTTTGAGCGGGGACGCCGAGTTGAGGCCGCATTCGCCACGCACATCAAAACAAAAATGAAGTCCCCACAGCGGAGGTTGACCCAAGTCTGGAGCAACATGAAATGCACCTGAGGGGCCTTGATCGAGCTAAACCCTAAACGCTAAGTCCTCAAACCTAAAAGCCCAAACCCTAAACACCAAGGCCCCTAAAGCCACCTCAAAACTCTGACAGTCTGACCTCTGCAAAGCCCTAAAGTCTGAGAGCCCCCACAGAGTTCGCTAGGATATGTCTTCAGGTAACTGCATTATTGTTCCTACAATCCAGGTTTAGTGTTTCGGGGTTTTGGGGCTTCGGCTTGTTGGGATTTGCCGGTTAAGGGTTTTAGGACTTTGCGGGTTTAGGATTTGGGTTTCCATTCTCAAGTCCATCGGCTCTTGAACCGCCTGCACTCGCACATTTCGAAAGCCTAATAAGCACAACTCTAGTTTTTGCTGAAAGTTAAAATAGAGCTTTGTGGTATAGTACACCATAGATTCAAATTATACAAAGATCCTACTGGGGATATTGTCAACTATCCAAGCATGAAGATTCAACCTCTAGATGAAACTACTACTGTATGCCCTAATCTACCATGGATCGGCCAACTCCTCGAAACTCCCAGCCGCCAATCGGCTTGTCTTCCAAGCCTTTCAGCACCGCTTGCAGAAACTTGCAACGCTTGAAGCCCGACAAAGAGAGGGCAATGTCGTGTGCTTGCAGAAACTTGCAACGCTTGAAGCCCGACAAAGAGAGGGCAATGTCGTGTGATAAATATTGCGGGTACGTGCCAGTATGTGCATCCACGAGAGCAGCAGCATCCACGCGTAGGCACATGGCATTGGCGAGTATGATCATGCCCGTTCGTTTGCATGCAGACTTACTGATGTGTGTCTGTGTGTGTGCTAAAGTCTCCGGCCCAAAAAGGTCCCTTCTTTCTGGCCGCGGGCCTGCCGAAGCATCTTTTTAATGTCAACCCCATGTTTAGAATCCCCTGCGTAATTGCAAAAATCCAATTCCCAGAACGTAAATAGAACCCCCTCCCCCCGTGTTTGCAGAATCCAATCGGCCGGAGCCGAAAAAATATAAGCATCATCCTGCTTGTGGAGGTTCATATAGATGAAAGCTCAAAGGAGCTGAAAAGGCTTCAAGGCTCCTGGGGTCAAGGCTCCTGGGGTTCTCCGGGCCTCTAAGCAGGGCTGTGACACTACTCCCGCATGCATCCCTTTGTTGACGATAGCAGCCTCAAGTGATGTGGGGAATTACCTCAAGCAGCCTACCTCAGCAAATCCGCGAACACTGCAGAAGCACCAAGCTAGACTCATGACACTGATGATGAGTGGGGCTCTGCTGGATCCGGACTCTTCGTGCAGAGGCTGGGGCTCACATCCTTGGGAGGGGGTGGGCCTTTCTTCACATGAAGTGAACATTATGGCCGGAGCACGTGGATGAGGATGTGCCAAGGTCAGCAGAATACCAGCATGCAGGGTGCCAGCCTGCCTTGTTCCGATATGTCCTGTATTCATGCGAAACATTGTGTAGATTACGCACCCCCTGAAGCCTACAGCTTGCAGCAAAGGCTGTGGCCTTCATCTTCGAGCAACTGTAGTCTAGCAGTCTAGCATTTGTTGCAGAGTAACAGTAGGCTGCATCGGGTGCTTCTTTGTCGCTCCTTTTCTTGTGGCATTTTCGTTTCATTCTTGAGAAGACCCAAGCCATCATGAGCCAAGTGTTCTTTACCAGCATTCCCGTTCCTGATTTGGACGATGCCCCGTACGATGTTGTGCTGTGGCATCGATGCCCTAACTCAAACTTTCCTGACAGGTTGGTATCCGCAGGCCTTGCATTGCACGCAGCCTTACATTGACCACGCGAGACTAGCTTGAATGCTGAGCTGGCATGTTTCGGTTCTTGTGATGCTGTCCAGCCCGACATTATGAAATGGGAAGCCGCCACAAGCAGGGAGCATCGGCTCTAGATCCAACAAGTATACCACCTGTCAACCCAGAGCCACACACGCCTGGAACAGGAAATACCACACTTCCATTTGTGTTGCGCCAGGATCGTATGCTGAGTCGACTGGTCTCATCAAAACCCTGAGCCCTGAGCTCAGAATTTACATGTTGAGACATTCCTAAGCACCACTCTGCAGGAGGATGTAGTCGGTTGAACCCTCACTCCTGCGCCCAGGTCTGCGCCCAGGTCTGCATCCCTGACAGTGCGGGTCTCGAAGGGCCTCCTGGGCTTGCGTAGGGGCCGTGCCGTGCCCGGACATGGGTCAGCTGCCTTCTGAGCCGAGTATGGCGCTTAGAAGTTGAGCGATTTTAGGTAGAACGTAGCCAGCACCAAAAACAAGTGCGTAAGTAGATTGATGAATGATCAGAGCTGCGCTCCATGTTATGAGACTTGTTGTTACCTGCACTTCCGTTGTTGGCTCCCTCTCAGTTTCAGTTAGACCAGAACCAAGATCCTGACTGGCCATGTCGAAGCAATCTGAGCGCGGGTGCAGTGTCTGAACCAGTCTTCAAGAGACAGGACTGCATTGAAGCATCTCACCATGGTACTGTAGCTGAATAGTTACACAATGAAGAGTATGTGTGAGACAGGAGGCGCCCCATCAGCCGCTCACCTTCTCCTGGCACGTCGCAGCAGCGTCGCAACTGCTCAAGGCAGTCACGCAGGCCAAGCGACGAGATGCACACGCCCCCTTCAAGGAGCTGGAAACAGGAACATGAAAATGAGGCCGACACAATGCCGAAGCTTCGAAGAGAGGATGCAGAAGCACCCAACAGCAAGTCGTCCTCGAGCTCCTGCACCAGCAGGCCAAGTCCCACCGACACTGCCTTCAGGAAGAAGAAGAAGTCCAAGAAGAACAAGAAACAGAGCAAATCCCCGGCCCCTGGCTTCGACCTGACGAAGAAACCCGGCGAGGAAAAGAACACCGTGTTTGACTTCATGCAGTCCCGGCCTGAGTGGGGGAGTGTGCAGCTTCTTTTTTAATGGAGCCGATGCTGAGCTGCCTTGTATCAAGCCATCCTGACCAGACGGAAGAAGCTTGCAAGAGCTGTTGCAGGTTGGTTGTGGATTGCCAACGCTAACCCTGCGAGCCTGGAAGCCTACCCCCAGTCTGGAGCCTTCGGGATCAGAACCGATTGCACAACCAAAAGGCCTTCTTATACGCAACCCTGTTCAACCCAAAATGGCATCCCGTGTGATAGCTACAGCCACGTATCTCCATTCACAACAAATGCACCAGATCACAACCCTCTGCAAATTATCATCCTGAACCAAACAGACATCGTTTTCCTTTTATCCATGGGGAACTCCAGGGTACGTACATACACGCGCACTAATATACCCCCCGCTCCCAATCCTGGAATCCTGGGCAACTTTTTCGGGGTGATGCGGCCGGGGGGGGGGGAGGGGGCGTACGAACATACATCTTACCCACGTGCATACATACCATACCACATATACTTACATACCGTCCTCATGCGTGAACGGATATGTTTTCTCTGGGGTTCTTGCGGTATTTATTGTTAACTTTCTGCACTCTTATCCCTATCTGTGGGCCCATGTATCGCAGCCGCAAGGCGTTTGAAGCACGCTCCACATGGCAGCAACAGTGCCCAGCAGCTGGGAATTTGCTATCACACCGTGGAGGTAAAGGAGGGCAACATGTGCTGCCACCTGTCAACCTTGATTGTCACAGCTGAAGACGGGCACGGAGTTCCTTATGCATGGAGTGGGCAGGAGTTCAAGGGCGAGGCGGTACGGAAGGCTTGGGCGGAGAATGCAGCAGCCAAAGCCTTTCTGGATGATGGTGCAGTTCAAGAAACGGCTGCAAACATGGATCCGGCCTATGCGAAAAAGCCTTCCCAGAGCCAGAAGCGCAGGCTGACGGTGCTGAAAGAATTTCGCCGTGCCAAGAGGGCTGCTGCAGCTGCGGGGGGAACAAAGACGTTTGCGCGAGTGGTTTAAGAAGCTTACGCCGCTCTCCCGGGCCTCGAAGTTCATTGAGTGTCAAGGGCGGCGCCGGGAGTTGAGATAGCTTGAGCTCGGGCGTTTCCGGACATGAAGTCACTATGTCTGTCCGGCTCATACCGCATGAAGCAGCTGAATGCGAAGCAGTTCTTGTCCTGAGAAGTGCCGGAATCAACTCCTAGTCCTAGATGGAGATGTTTGCTGTTTAGGCCCTGCATGTACTCTCCCATTTATCGTACAGCTTCCGCCGCAGCTCCAAGCAAAAGAATCTCAAGTGCAGATGAGTGGCATCCTCAAGTGGTTCGAAGGGTACAGCTTCCTTGACGTGCTGCGTTGTGCTTAGGCCTGAAATTTGCTAGAGATGAGACCGTAAATCAAAGAGCGTTCGTGTGTCAGGATGCAAGCATGTGGCTTAGTTTTTTGCAGCTAGAACCGTCGGAATCTGAACAGAATCCTAGCATAAGCTGCAAGTTTTGCCATAGATGCATCTCGGAGTCGCTCGGGCCAGGCAGGAATTGGAACTGGCAGGCAGCAGGAGTTCGCCGAAGGAACCTTAG